CAATCCTAGAGCCAAATGGCTTAGGCACAAACCCTGGCCCCACCATGTACTAGCTGTGTGACCTTGAGCAAGTTACTTAACCTCTCTGTGCCTTCGTTTTCTCTAATACAAAATGAGGACAATAGTAGTACCTACCTCACAAGGCTACTATGAAGATTAAATCTATATGAAGGGTTACAGTGATACCTGGCACATATGGTAGGTGTTAGTACTACTACCCATTCCTCACATAGTATAGTACTTGTCATATGAACTATTCCTCATATAGACTTGTTACATGAAATTGCAATAAAAATTCCTGTTTGTCTTGTGTACAGGGTCCCATGAGTTAGGCTAAAGAGCGGCACAATCAGCTCTGAGATTTGGGAAGGGAGCTCTGATAGCCGTGTGGAAGTGAGGTGAGAGGAGGGGGGAGCAGTTGGCAAGTAATACTGTTGTTGGGTGAAGGACAGAGGGGCAAATCCCTGGCAGTGGGGACAGAAAGACGGGGCAGTTCTGAGAGAGATTCGTGAAGCAGAATTAACTCAGTGAGCCAGTGGTTGCAAAGAATGAGGAAGAAGCAAGTGCCAAATATGACACCAGATTTCCAACCTGAGTGGCAGTGTTGGGATTTGAAGGGGCCCAGGGAATAGCATCCCACTTCCCTTCAGAATCAGGATCAATGGAGAGAAAGGGGGAGGGAGAAGGGAGGAGAGAGGAGGGGCTCGGGCAGATGGAGATTAAAATGCATCATTACAGATACAGCTGTTTGGAAGGCCAGGCTCTGGAGTGGGGTCCATGGGGCCTGCGGCTGGGCCTGCACCTCCAGCTGCAATGTTCCTGGTGGGAGGGGGCGGGGCTGACCCTGCCTGGCCACGCTCAGCACATGGCAGAGAGTGGTCTGCAGGGAGGCAGGTGCCGAAAGGCTCTCCATGCCCACTTCCTCCACACTGGCCAGGCTGATGAGTCCCTGCTCCTGCCCTGGGGAGGAGAATGGAAGGGGAGGAAGGAGGCCAGAATGTTGCACTCATCCAGGTCCCTCGATCTTGGCATTCTTGACATTTTGGGCCGGATAATCCTTCGTTGTGGGCTGTCCTGTGCCTTGTAGGATGTTTGGCAGCATCCCTGGCCTCCACCCACTAGATGCCAGTGGCTCCCCCCTGTCCCTGGCTGTGGCAACCAAAAGTGTCTCCAGATATTGACAGGTGTTTGGGGTCGGGAGGGAGAAGGAGCAAAGTCGCCCTCGGTTGAGAACCACTGCTCTGGTCTAATGAAAGTCCCTCTGGATGGAGACCCGAGGAGTGAGAAATGAACGCTTCCCCCTCACTCTCCTCCCAGGAATCAGGGCCTTTCAATAGGCAGAGCTAGAAGGGCACACTGGGGTGACAGCTGGCTCCTCAGACGTTTGAGGAGTCTGCTCCCTGTCTTCTCTTCCTTCTCCTCTCCTCCGCTTGCCTTTCCTGTCCAGCTAACTTCTGAGCATCCTTTGAGGTTTAGCTACACCCCTGCCTGGAGGAAGCCTCTCCCAGATAGTTTAGATATCCGTGCTCCCTCCTCCACAGCACCCCTGACTCTATTGCAAATGTTGGCCAGCTTTCTCCCTGTGACCCCGTGCTGCTGAGCACAATCCCGGCTCATCGAGGGTCCACAGGAAGTGAGCTGTGAGCGAATGAGCCAGGGCAGCTTCGCGTAGCTCCTCTCCTGCGATACCATCATTCTGGGCATTCCTCTGTGGGTCTCTGTGCAGGTCCGGAGGCCGGCACGTGCAGGGTGCAGGGCGGGCTGCCCCTGAAGCTGCCTCTCTCCCGCCAGCCCCTGCCCTCCTGCAGCGTCTGGAAAGGCTCTGTGCCCCCTGCTCATTCCCAGTATCTGAAGCATTCAGGGCTGTTGCCTTTGTGAGAGCTCAAGGTGGTGTCCTTGGCTCTTTCGATAATTGCTAAATAACTGCTTGCCCTGGAAATTGCCCTGGAAGCCTCTCCCCACAGCTGCCTGGCCCCACATCAGAGACCTAGGTTGCTTGGTTACCAGTTTTCAGACCCAATTCAGGAAAGTCCCGAGGCCACAGAAAACTGAGTTTGGCTGCATGTGACCCACAGCCAGTGTCTAAAGGCTCTCTAACCTTAGCACAGTCTGTGGAAGGAGAGGAGGCACGCAGTGAGCGCCGTCTTGCCTGCCCCCCCTGAGGCCTTCACCAGCTCACTTAACCCTAGGAACCGTGGTACATCAGAGGGTTCCCATGTTACAGATAAGGGCACTGGAGATCAAAACGATTAAGGAACATACTCAGGGTCACCAGAGAGTTTCTGGTGGAGTTAAGATCCAAACTCAGGTCCCTGACTCCAGGCTTTCGGTTTTATTTTTTCTCTCTCCATCCCACTGAGGCGTGTTCAAGAAGTTTGCTTAGAGAGCATTTTTAAGAAATTATTACTACAAAGCAGTTCTTCTCACTGCCTGAAACACAAGTCCTACCCTCTCTCGCCTTTATTGAGGCCCCTCTTTGTCCCCTCCCCCATCTCCCCTGCAGGAGCAGACCACTTTCCTTACTGGGGCGCTGGCACGCTGGCCCTGCACCCCTCTGCCCACGCTCTGGATGTGTAGCCTCGCCCCCTGCAGGCCGCTCTGCCCTGGATGTCCGCCCCGTACACTTACACTCCTTACTACGCTGGTGCCTGCGAGCACCACTCACCACGCTCTGATGCAGGTGCTTGACACACATGCATTCAGGAAAACAAAGTTCAGTCCAACCTACTTTTTAATTCTATTTTTAACCTTTCTTCCGAAAGACTCAGATGTTCACAGGGATGTGAGAGGAGGTTCCCTGAGCCAGCCGTGTAAAATGAGAGGTCACTTGGGGTGCCCACTGCCCCGTACTGCCTCAGGCAGCACCCTCCTGCTCTGCTTTCTTCCCCACACTCCCCATTCCGCCTCCTCCTTGGATGCTCTCTAGCTAAATAGATTTTCTTCATATACTTCAACAAGCTGGTGATGAATTTTAGTAGCAGAAACATTTTTCACTTCAAATCAGATTGCAACGTACATGCCCATCTGGGGACCATGCGTCTGGGGCAGTGGTTCTCAGCCAACATCATCTAGGAAGTTTCTAAAAATAGGCAGCACTCAACCCCCCTCCCCCACACACACTCCCCCTTCCCCCAATTAAGTCTGAAGGACCTGGGCAGCAGCATATTTCTAAATACTCCCCAGGTGATTCTCTTGGGTAGCTCGGGTGTAGAACCGTTGGTCTAGCCTTGCTGCTGCGAGTGAAGCCTGCAGACCAGCAGCCTGGGCGTCGCCGGGCAGCTTGCTAGAATGCAGAATCTCGGGCCCCACCCCAGACCTACCAAGTCAGAATTTGCATTTTACGGGTGCTCTTCCTCCCAAGAGTATGTGTCTCCTAAACTCTAAGGGTCCCCACGAGACTTGCAACCAGGGGAGCAATGGGCAGTGGCAGCTCATCCCAGGCTGACGCCTGAACCTGTCTCCAAGACCCCCTTTTCCCCGACTTCCCAGTGAGCCAGCAGTCCCGCCTGCACTCATTCTTTTCCATAACGCTTCTAGGGAGCCGAAGCAGAGCAGCACCGAGGCCCTCTCCCGTCTCTATCCTAAGCCCTTCCTGGTTTCACTGTCCTCAGCTTTCATAAATGTAAAAATAAAACATTTGCATTTTACCAAGATCCTCTGGTGATTTGTAAGCATGTTACACTTTGAGAAGCATTGCTTTAAGCAAAGAACAGTTTTTAAATAACTGTATGACACATTGCATTTGGATCACCTAAAATATTAAAACGCATATTCTGACTTAGTAGGTCTGGGGTGAGGCCCAAGACTCAGCATTTGAACAAACTCCCTGATGCGGGTGTGGGGACCGTTCTGAGCAGCCAGGACATTGAGTTGCGTTTCAATGAGTTCCTTCATCTGAGCCCTGAAAGCAGAGGGTAGATATTTACAGACCTTTTCCTAAGTTTCCTCACCATCACTGTTTCCTGATCCACCATCAGTGCCGGCCCACGGCTTACCCTCTAATGAGCCAGCACCGAGCAGCCCTGATGGGTGCACCGGGTGCCTCTGTCAGGGCAGAGGGTAGAAATGCAAAGTGTATGCCCTCCCTGCCGACCCTCGCCCACCCCCTCGGGGGGAGGCCATGCATGCTCTGCCCAGGACAGGTGATTTCAGGTTCCACAGCAATGGTGGTTGGTGCCTCTCTGGCCTTGGCCCCCAGGAGGGAACTACTGAAAAGCCATTGAATTCAAAATATATCTAATATGCTCAGAAAGGGCAAACCCACAGACTGGTCTGAAGTTTACAGAAGCAACTGGGGAGAAAAACCGATGGGGGTTGGCTTTTCTTTTTCGATCCTTTAATCCATTACAGAATTGTAGAGCTGAAAAGGAACTTTAGAGATCTAGTCCCAAACTTTCATTTTGGAGAAGAAAGCTGGGACCCGATGAGACTGTGGCTTGCTCTCAAGGTCACCAAGCAAAATAGGGGTCAGCCCATGGGTGTAGGATTTCTTTTTTTATCTTGCTTTAGGTTGTTTTTCTAGAAATGGATAGGAGTAGTTACTTCTTTCAGACGGCTCCTTTAATTAAGAGATCTACTTTTCACAGAAAAGGTAAAAATCAAGAGGCTGGATCATAGTTCTCGCCCCTCGTGTCCTTCAACAAAAAATTTCTAACCGTTACTGGTGTCACCCTTAACAGGGCCTGCCTCCCGGGGGGCAGTGACCCAAATTGCAGGTACGGTGCCCGGAAGGAACGAACTAGCTTCCGGAAGGCCTACCTGAGGCCACTCTTCTCTTCCATGCCCATTGCAACACTGTAAGCTGATCACAGTTCTCTTTCAAGCCACTGCCAATCAATTGGATTTGGATCTCGAGTTGAAACGCTTTTGCCATCCCTACAATAGAGGTCATACCTTGAAAAGCCGAGTGACCTTCAGATCCTCACTACAGTGCAGCATGTCTGCACGGGTTAGTAAAGACTCTTTCGCTTCTCATTTCCGACCCCTCCAGCTGCTCATTAATCCAATTATGAGTTTCCTTTATCCAACCAAACTTCCTGCCGAGTTGCAAACTCTCCCCGCGACGCGTTTGCCTCTGGTAATTAGCCAGCCCGGTAGAAGATGCTGTCTTGTTCAGACGTTTCTGTAATTTGGACTGACCTCACTCTGATCGTGCAACAGCAACATGTGCCGTATGAGGACACTCCAGGAGCCTCCTTCTCACGAAGGCTCGCCGAGGTTAGCTTCTGCCCTGCTGCTGGAACCCTGCCCCTGTCTCTCTCCAGCCTCTCCCACGAGGTGGTAAGGAGGCTTCCGAGTCTTGTTAGCTCTGAAGTGCGTGGGCCCTTCATGTTGATCTCTGAGTCCCGAACTGGAGCAAGCTTATTTGCTGGCAGGCGCGTCCGTCTCCATAATGGGGAGTCAGTCTTCAGATCTTCTCTTCATTAAGACATCAGCCACACTCAGCCTTGCTCTCGGCTGCCAGACGCACTGACAAGGCAGCAGGAAAAGTTCCATCAGGAAGGGGTTTGCTGCCTTCAGAAGGCAGGGAGGCACCACCTTGCCTGCGGGAGTGGACCTGCTCTGCCTGTGCGGGCCTCGTGCCAGCAGAGCCTTCTCAACAACACTCTGTGATTCTGATTCGAAGCCTGCGGGCAGAGTCTCAGGGTGGTGCCATCTGTAGCGTTCTGAGTGTCTCCCTTGCCAGCGAGGAGGGGGTGGAGTCCTTCCAACTCCTTGGCCATTCTCATCTGTCTCCTGGGCGTGTGCCACAGGCTCCCATGGCCCCAGGCTGCTCGGCAACACCCTGAGTTATGTTAGCGATATAATAATGAATTATACAATGAATTATACATAATTAATTTATAATAAAGCACGCACGCAACGCTTTAATTTCTCCAAGTGAATGATGTGCTGCCCGCCAGGTCCTGCTGGGATGCATTCCCTAACTGCCTCCTTGCTGGTCTGGAGGCCATGGCCAGCTGTCTAGGGAGGGTCCGTGGCCAGGGAAACCTGCTAAGTCAGGTTCCCTCCAGACTACCTCTGGGGTATGGGCCACAGAAGATAATCCTTCACGCCTCACTGTTGTTCTAGACCTGGACACTCGTAGGAGTCTCACCCCACCCCTGGACCACTTAGAAGCTGTTATTTTCTTCATTCTTCCAATCTTCCTTGCAGAGTATGGGAGGTGCCAGTGTATTTATACTCTACATTCCCTCCCTTCATTCACCCACTCAACAAATACCTATTAAGGGCCTAGTATGTATCAGATGCTGTCCTTGGCTTAGGGTACATGAGTGAACAAAACAGACGAAGATCCTTGCCCTAGTGGCACTTACACGCTAGCAGAGGGAGACAGACCACAAATAATAGACACGATGAATAAATGTGTTACCCAGTGTGTCATATAGTGATAGGTGCTATAGGAAAAGAAAAGGCAGGGCAGGGTAAGGGTGACCAGGCGTGATGGGGGCAGGATGCCCTTTTAAGGAGGGAGGTCAGAGCAGTCTTGTGGAGAAGTGGCAGTCTAGGCATCGCCAGGCCCTCCGTGAACAGGGGAGAGAGGCACTTCTGGGTCTACCAGGGGTTAGATTTTCCTGGGCTGCTTTGGCTCTGTTTCAGTAACATGTGTAACTTTTGGTTTCAGATGTTCAGGATGTTTCCGTTCCTGCTGCTGCTGTGGTTTCTGCCCCCCACCGAGGGGTCCCAGCGAGCTGAACCGATGTTCACGGCAGTCACCAATTCGGTTCTGCCCCCTGACTATGACAGCAACCCCACCCAGCTCAACTATGGAGTGGCAGTTACTGATGTGGACGGTGACGGGGACTTCGAGATTGTCGTGGCAGGGTGAGTGCCTCCCCCCTTGAGTCTGATAGATACATCAGTCAGCTTTTACTGTGATAAGGCTGAGTGACAACTCCCAAATCCAACGGCTTGCAACAACACACATTCTCACTCATAAGTCCTAGCTGGACTCAGTGGATGCTGGTGTGCTACTTCTTTGCCTTTTGTTATAGCAGTGGGCGGGAGGGTAGATCCAAGAAAGGTGTTCATTCCACGTGCTTTCCAGGGAGAAAATTTGAATGCTTTGCTTCAAGGTACTCTCTTCATATCCTTAGTTATGCAGGTGTAGTTACTTCCTTATCAGTGGAATTCTAGAATCTCTGTAGGAGGGGCTTCATGGTGACAATTAAGAGATGGGGATGCTCAGTCTGCCTTTGCACAGCATTTCACATAACACTAAGGAAACATTAATTGTCCATTTCAAAGAAGGGAGGAAGATGGAATTAGGAGGGATAGCTAAACTTCCTCTAAAACATGCCCTGGTCCCACTGCTCCCTTCTCTCCTGAGAAGCAACATTGTGTAGCCAGAAGAGCATAGGATTTGGAATCCAAATAACTTGAGTTCATGCCCTAGATCTACAACTTTCTAGTGGCATGGTTTTGATCACTCCCTTATTTGCTGAGATTCAGACCATCTGGGGACTGTAATGCCTTCTTGCCCAGAAGCCTCCGTAGTAGGCCATTTATTGCATGGGACAGTGCATTATAAATTCTGCCAATTACATTAATAATTATTATGTACTGAGCACTAATAGGTACCAGGCTCTGTGCTGAGCCTTTCACACGCATTGCCTTATTTAATCTTCCTGACAACACTATAAAGTAAGTTACTATCATCCCCATTTAGAGAAGAGGAGATTTGGGTTCAAAGATGGTGAGTGGCATGCCTTCTGTCAAGTAAATGGTAAGTAGACGAGTCAGGATTTGAACCCCAAGGCTCCCCAACCCAACAGCTGCTAAAATACATTGTACAAAGTTTAGTTATCACTTCAAAAATCATCTTAATATTAAAAGACTAATATGCAAATGGTCGTCATGCTGTGACGCCATATTGACCCATCAGCAGGGACCTGAGGCTGCAGGGTGCTGGGCTGGGGCCGGGACCTGAGGCCGCATGCCTCCCGCTCCGGCACCAGGGCCGGGGGACCTGAAGCTGCGTCCCCTGCCCAGCAGGGCTTGATGGGGGTGGGGCCAGCCAGGTCTTGGTGTCGCCCAATGGGGGTGGGGCTGGCCGGACACTTCTATTATACAGAAAGGGCAAATAGCAATATTAAAATATTTCCTCGAATTCCCTTTTAATCTGCATGAATTTTGTGCACCGGGCCACTAGTTTAATCAATTAAAAAACACTACAGGGAGCTGTCAGCCTTCTTCTGGGAGGCCTCAGCTTTTATGGCAGCACTGACCAAAGTAACTGTCAGGTAACATCACTGTAGCAGTTGCATGTACCAGTAGAAAGCATTGACCTTAGAAATGGAAGACCTGGTTTTAATTCTAACCATATCATCCAGTAGCTGTGAGCCTTGTGCAAAGTACTTAGCTATGTAGTTCCCACAGGGTATGGCTGGAGAATAGGCTGACCTTCCCTACCTTATCGCCTGATAGCCCACAGATGGGCCCTTTGGAACACGTTGAAATCCCCCGCCTACACACAGGACAGTGGTGAAGATCAGTAGTGATGCTGTATAAAAAAGATACTTTATAAAGTGTATTTCTTCTTTCTGTTCCTTTTTCCACCCTGTGAAGAGTGGAAGGGACTACATTCTAGACCTAAAAGTCTGGATTAGCAAACCGTCCAGTAGAACTTTGTGTGATGATGTAGCTGTTCTGTGTTGGTACTGTCCAATATGGTATCCACTGGACACCTGTGATGGTTGAGCACCTGAAATGTGGCTGCTGTGACTGAGGAGCTGCATTGTGAATTTTATTTCATTTTCATTATTCAGCCACATTTAAATCAGCACAGGTCTGGGCGTTCAGAAGGAAATCTAAAGAGCAGAGTGTGGTAGAAAAAGGAAAAATGGAAAAGGTTATAATGACCCTATGGCCTGAGGTGACCTGAGGAGGGTTGAGGCCAAGCAGCTTGTCTGTGTTCTTGTGACTGTCCATTCACTCTGAATCAGAGAGAAGTGCTCCTGACCCAGTCCTGCCTCCTGCAGCCATGTACCACTCTGCCAGTCTCTGGTTAAAGGACTTCAATGCATTCGAGATGTTCTGGTTGGCCCTGCTTCCTGCTAGGTAACACCAGCCTCCCCTTGTAGAGCCTAGGGCCTGACAGAGGACAGAGAACAGTGGGTAACCATCTGCCCCCTCCTCCTGGGCCCACAAGTTACTACTGTGAGCATGCTCTCCTTTCTCCTTGGACAGGGGGCTTTGAGCGCAGGTCTCCATCCCGCCATCCTTAGATGAGCACCGGACCGTCACAGCACCTCCCATGTCTGCAGCTTCTTTCTTTCCAAACGCCAGGCATTCGTTTCACCTTCCTTTTCAACTAAGTCTTTTGCTCTTTCTCTCCAGAAATTGGCTTTTGTGTCCTCTAAGGTAGAGAAGTTAGGCCATCATTTGTAACCAGCCTAGAGTAGATATCTATGTCCAGCTTGCTGCCTACCATGGTTCAGTAGCCCTTTGGACCCATTCTCTGGAACCAGAAACAGACCATCTTGGGTTTTGATCCTGGATCATCCTGAGATCAGGGAAAGACCCTGTCTCTTCTCCCAGGGCCAGGGTGATGCGGGCAGCCCCTGTCTGAGAAAGCCTGGGTTGCAGGGTGTTCTTCTGAAAGATGATACTGCTCACCCCAGCAAAGAGGAAGAGTTACATGGAGGACAAGATGGCAAAATTGGGCAGCCTCCCAGCTCCAGGTCAGGCCTTCTTTGTGACTATTATGAAGCATTGTGAGTTCTCAGGGCATCGGAAAGTCACGTTCTAATTTAAGTACCAAAATACATTCCAACGGCAAATATAACTTTTTATTATCTCCAGCTTAGGATGATTTGTCACTGTCTTCCTCTTTGGGCCGGATAACCACGGGTTGACTATATAGACGTATTTAAATCAGGACCTTGGGAGGTCATTCGGTTCACCCCTGCCTTGCCTTCCAGTTAGGCCACACCTATAGTTTTTGGAGGCTCCCTGCAGGTATTTAGAGCTTTCCATAAGAATGTGTGCAATCTCTCTGTCATCCAGCTCAATTACTTATGTCAAGACTCTATTCGACTAATCTGATCCCTCATAGTAGAGCTTCGTAAGCCATTTCTTTTAACTTTAGTTTTGCTGTTGCCTTTGAAGATATAAACCAGAGGCCACCATCCTTTCAAATAATGGCAGCGAGGATCACTGCCCTGCCTCTCATTCCCTATGCACTCCTTGGCAACATTTCTGACTGATTTTTATTCCATTTCGTCTACTCTACACCCATATTTAACTCTGTTTCTTCTCTGTTTGATTATAGACTCTCTGTTTAAGAATCACGTAGCAGGGATTGAAATTTTAAAAAATTGAATGTGAATGCTTTTACCTGGGGCACCTGCAGTCCAGCTCAATAGAGGCCACTCTCTATTATCTTACAGACCTTCCCATTCGCTGGCCCCAGAAGGCATTTACGTTTTCCTCCTGGGATAATGTCCAGCTCTTCCGCTTACAAGGTGCCCACACTTGAACTTGTCTTGGATTTGTTGACCTTGTAGTGTGTCTGATTCAAGCCCTGTTGCTTGGAGTATTTACTCTTTGAATAGGTTTGTTTTGTTTTGCTTTTTCGGTAGCCTCGTTCTGGGTATTGACGGCATTGATTCTGAGCATGCTGTGGGTGAGTTGTATTGTGTTTCTGATTCTTAAGTTAATTGTGATGGACGGTGTGTGCATACATCTGGCTCTGGGAGGAGCAGAAAATGACCGCCCTTTGTTCTGTGGGGAGGGGGGGAGGGAATGGGTCAGCTCTGCTCCCCGCACCTCAGCTGGGCGAGTGTCACCGCATGTGGAGAGCTTATCCATTGACCGGCAGGTGCGTGATTGCAATCTGTTTACAGTCTCCACCCTGCAGAGTCAGGGGAGGGTTTGGTCACCCCCAGAGAAATGTGCGCATGCACAGATCATTGAGGATCTTCAGGACTGGTTCCCCTTTTCTCAGTGGAACTAAACGCCCAACCTTCAGTTTCATGTTGTCTGGAGAGGAATTCCTGTTGGTGTCAACCTTGCACAATTCCTTTAGAGTAGCTTTTGTTTCCTGGGATATCCCCAGAGGTCAGTCTGAGGTAACCCCCCGAACCCTCCCTACCCTGTCAGTTCCCAACAGGAGTTTTGCTCAAATGGAAAGATTGTAGTGGTTGTAAACTTTAAATCACAATTTAGATCTTTTTTTTCCCCCAAAGAGCATTCATTTGATATAATCTTAATGCATTCTTCACACTTGGAAGGATTTCATTTAAAGGGATGCTACGTATCGGAAAGCTGGGTTTCATTTTTTTCTTAATTTTGCAACTATGTCAGAAAACTTTTTTAATTTGCTGAAGTTAATTGAATTATTTAAAAGGAAAATTGTACTCAATTACCAGATTAATCATAATTACATAGGAGATATTTTTCCATGATACATAATAAAAACAATGATAAAGAATAAGATACTTGCCTGTGATTTAACCAAAGCAGCATTTGCACATTTTATTATAAGTATATATAGGTAAATGAAACATATATAGATATAACGTATATAGTATGTATGTAGTAGATAGATGTACCATCCATATAAATATATTTAGATATATGTAGTATAGATGTATATATACACATATATACACACACTTCTAACGAAATGGGAGAAATAGTTTTGAACTTCCAGTTCTAACTGCTGCTTTGTGAAATATAACATTTTCATAGATTTGATCACCGGTTTCTACAGCTTAAGATGTTATATTATTTCATTTAATTTATCTTTCTTTTTTAATTTAAAATATATTTTATATTTGATAGCACTTAAATACATTTTATTGCAAAAAAATACACACGGT